CCCGCCGTACCGGAGCCGCCCTGCCCCTCTCCTCGGCTGTACTCGCAGCCTCCGGCGGGGTCGGGGCTCTGTCCCGGCAGGCGCGGCGCGGCCGAGCCCTCCACGTCGGGCAGGGCCGAGGGCTGCCCGTTGGTGTCGATGTAGATGCTGGGGTGGCTCACGCCAGGCTGCAGGTGCATGAAGGGCTGCTTGGACGCTCCAGGGAAGAACAGATCTGTGGGACACGCAGGATGCGGCCTCAGCTGACGGGGACACGGCGACCCCATCGCTCTGCCTCACCTGCCCCAGCAGCACCCTGAGCCCCCGGGGGGCTGACACCTCCCAGCGCCAGGGAATCACGGGGATGGGGAATAACCTGAGCTGGGAGGGACCCACAGGGATCGTTGATCCAGTTCCTGGCCCTGCACCCCAACAATCCCAGCCTGTGCATTCCTGAGGGATGTCCTGGAGCTCTGGCAGGGCTGGAGCTGTGCCCATTCCCTGGGGAGCCTGGGCAGTGCCTCAGCAGCCTCTGGGGAAGAACCTTTCCCTGATTTCCAGCCTGACCCTCCCCTGGCACAGCCTCGTGCCATCACACAGGATTTGTTCCTTCAGCCTAGAGCCCCGTGCTTGGCACACGACCGGCATCTGGATCGGAGAGAGCCGACTCTGGGTCACTTGGACTGAGCCTATGACGCCCCCCCCAGTGAAACCAGACAGGCCACTTTGGGATCAAACAGCATCAAATCAAAGAAAAGAGGAAAAAACAACAAAAAAGACCCACTCCTGCAAAGCTTGAGGTGTTCCTACCAATCCTGTTATCTGGCACAGTTTTCCCAGAGCAGCTGGGGCTGCCCCTGGATCCCTGGCAGTACCCAAGGCCAGGCTGGATGGGGTTTGGAGCACCTGGGACAGTTGGAGGTGTCCCTGCCATGGCAGGGGTGGAACAGAATAAGCTTTAAGATCCCTTCCAATTCAAACCAGTCTGGGCTTTCTACAACTCCCTGATCCCAGGTTATTCCCACGGAGGATTTCTAACCCCAGCACAGTTCCCTACCCCGGAGGGTGGCACTTGGGCACAACAGGACCGCGGCTCTGGCGGACGCCGCAATCCCAACACAAACCCCAGAGTCTCATTCCACAATCCACAACAGCCAGCTCAGAACACCAGCGTGGCCGGACATCCCTCGGGGAGTGCTCCACCACCACTGACCTGGGTCCAGGATGATCTCGGGCTCCGAGTCGTGGCTGGCCTGCAGGAAGGTGGAAGCCACCATCTTCTCCAGAGGCGTGAGGCGAGGCTTGTGGAGCGGCCCCCCGGCGCGGTTCATGGGCAGGTGCTTCTTGGAGGTGATTTTCTTCTTGACGTCCAGCCGCAGGTCGCGCCACTTGTGCTTGAGGTCGTCGATGGAGCGCTCGGTGTAGCCCAGGAAGTTGACGCGGCTTTGGATTTGGGTCCAGAGCTGCTTCCGCCGCACGGGGTGAGCCCGCAGGGCCTCGGACCCGTACAGGGCGCTGAAATGCCGGACCACATTCCAGACCAGCGTCTCGGTCTCGTCATTGGAGAAGTTGGCCTTCCTCTTCCGGCCAGACGCTGGCATCGCCTGCGAGGCTGCGGCAGAGGTGGAAGGGGCACAATTGAACCTCGGTCCCCACTCCTCTCTGTCAGCTCCTGGGGGGAACATGGGGCTGCGGGAGCCCGAGGGAGCCGCGGAGGAGGGAGCCGAAGCAAGAGCCCCGGAGGCATCCATGGCAGGGGAGGCTTGGGCCGGGGAGGATCTAAAGAGCCGCTTCGGCACAGCACGCGGCACGGGCGCACCGCATCGCCTCGCCCGGCTCGAGGGCACCTGGGAGGGGAGAAAAGGAAAGGGCAGCGGTGGCTGGTGGCAGCGCGGGGGGACGGCGAGGGCCCCCCGGCTCTCTCCAGCCAGAGGCACCCGGGAGCCCCCAGGCAGCGGCCACGGGAGGGGCTGTGGGCAGCGCCTCGGGAACGGCACCGCGGGGCCCCGGCGCTGCCTGAGGGTGCCGAGGAGCACCTCAGGGCCAGGCTGAGGGTGATGGGGCACCTCAAGGCCACGGCAAGGGGCTCACGGCAACGCTGGCCACGATGGGGAAAGTTTTGGGTGTGATGAGAACTTCAGGTTCCCAACAAGGGCCTCGGGGCCACGGCGCTGACCATGACCTGAAGGACAGCTCCACGGCCCTTGGCCATGGTGAGCACCTCAAGGCCATGGCAAAGACCCTGGCCTAGAGGCAGGCCTTGGCAAGGATCTTGGCCGTGGTGAGAACATCAAGAGCCCAGCGAGCGCCTCGAGCTCCCGCTGAGGATCTTGGGGTCATGGTGAAAGCCGTGGCCACAGTGAGAGCCCCAAGCCATGGCAAAGGCATCACAGAGGGCCTCGGCCACGGTGAGCAGCTCAAGATCGCAGCGACACCCTGGCACCAGGACAGGGACCAAGGCCATGGCACGTGCTGCAAGGCCATAATGGAGACCTTGGCGAAGGCCTTGGCCATGATGAACACCTGAAGAGCCCAGAGAGGACCTCGGCACCACAGAGAAGACCTTGGCTACGGTGAGCAGCCCAAGCTCCCGGCGAGGACCTTGCGGACGCAGCAAAGACCTCGGGCGTGGTGCACACCTGGGGCTCCCAGTGAGCACCCCGGGGCCACGGCAAAGACCTCGGCCACGGTAAACACCGTGACCACGGCGACCACCCCAAACTGCTCGTGAGGGACTTGGGACCACGTCAAAAACCCTGGCCGTAGCAAGAACTCCGAGGCCACGGTGAAGCCCTTGGCCACGGCGCACACCTGCACCAGGTGTGCACACCTCAAGCTCCCACGAGGACCACGGGATCACAGCAAAGACCACGGCGCCCACCCCAAGCTCCCATGGCGCCCTCAACCCCCAGCAAGCCCCGGGAGCAGCGCACCAGCCTCGCTGGGAGCCCGCAGCCC